TAGGAGCATGCTTAGGTTTTTTCGAAATCATGTATGTACATGTTTGGTATCCGATATCGATCCGTAGGTAGGACCGCCTCATCGGCGTGTTCCAGCAAGCTCCCTCTGTGCGTGCTCTTCCTTTGCAATTGGTTAGATCCTTGCACCTTTTACCCTTTACCCTTTAAGTTTTATTTTATAATAGAGTGTTTTGTGTTGATGTCAACTTTGTCTCATATCCTTCAATGTTTCCATATTTTTCACCGGCGGATTTGTTTTGTTTGAGATGTGTGGTATTGATCATCGGGCAATGTAAAGGAAGCTATAGATGTCGTCTTATAAGGCAAATGTTTTTTTTTCACGGTAAGTGGATTCAATTACAATTTATAAGCGTTTAAGTTAGATGAACCCTGCATCCAATGTTCTAAACTTTACAATTTTTAAAATTTTAAGTTATGTATCTGGCCTGTTCGATGAAATTCGTGAAGGAAAAAATCAAAGCATTTTGGCTATTAGCTCCCTCACACTGGCGTGATCTAGATATTACGTTTATGGTGTTGAAAATTCAGGAAACATTATTTAAAAAATGAATTAGAAAAATTGTGTAAGGTATACGCAACTACAGGCAAGAGATAGAAACATAGAAACATTTTCTGTGGATTGCAGCTCAACACGCAGATCAAATCAACGATCAAAACGGTGCACCAGATTTTCCGATGGTTTAGACGGCCCAAGAAGAAATAACGTGTGGTGTGTAGCGTGTGTCAGCACCCCACACTGTTGGAAAACTGAAATTACAAGTATACCCCCAAAAAAGCAAAGAAAATGAAGGAAATTCAGTCAATTCGTATAAAGTGGTTAACAAAAAGGAACATAACGAAAACGGTGTTGTTTTATTAAGTGCGAATGAAAAAAAAAAGTCATTTGCAAAAAGCAAACATGAATTAAGGGACACTTGTCATGTTTTTAGAAGCCCTTTAAGGGACACCCTGCTCTTTAGCTGGTTGTCAGAGCCCGACTACATCAACGACTACATCAACGACGGGTGAAAATTGAGGTCGACCGAAGGAGTTCGTGAGGTTTTTTCAGAGGGAAATCCTATAATCGTCGGAAGCCCGATTCTCTTCAACAGAATCTTAAATCTCTTTACCATTTTTTTTACAGCGTTGTTCACGGCTAGGCTTCAGGGAAATGGAGGCCGTGATGCAAGAGGATCGAACGGTGGAGTCAACAGAGAAGGTTGCTCCTCTGTCTCTCAGAAAACACCTTGTGAATCTGAAGAACTTCAAGAATATGATATGGAAGAACACGATAACGGTGACTCTTTTTCAGAAATGTTGTCTGATGGTGACGATCCTTTTGCCCATGAAATACTCATCAGAAGTAAGGATGAAGATGATAAAGGTACTTTCTTTTCCTTTTCAAGTGCTTTTTTTAATGTTAATTAGCTTATGAGGATCATTCTCTGCACATGTTCCAAATCCTCGATGGTCAAACACTGATTTAGTCATGTTGAAATATCAAATCCTCTCTTATTTATCTTATTGAATCTCTGGTGATTATAAGACTGTGAGTGTCCTAGGGTTCTTTGCGTGTGAGCCGCGTAAGGTTGTGAGGGGATTTTAGGGGGTTTTGGGTACGGGCTGAATTAGGGCCGAGAGTTGTGCATCGAGAGGTGGTATTACCCTGTGTTTACAGTGCCAGAGTCATTGAGGTTGAGGGTCCAATTGATCGGTTCATTTGTCGGCTCTTCTGTGACTCATTTTGAGGGTTTGACATAAAGGGTACTAAGCCTACTCCATTTCAACCCATCATCACGGCAACTTTGTACCATTCGGGCTCCTCGTTCGAGAAACATAAAGGGTGTATTCGTTCCTCTTTTATGTGTTATTCATTTTTAGCCTTTTCTATTCAATTATATTGTTTGGTTGCTGAAATTAGTATATTTATTGGTAATATTCGTTTTCCTCTTGAAGCGAACGAATCAGGACGAGTTCATACTCAAAAGGGTGTTGTTCGGAAAGGAAAAGTTGTTGTCTGGTGCCTAACAGGAGCTGTCGGGACCTACTTGAAGCTGCCGGACCTGTTGGGTGCTGCTGGGACGAACCAACGGCGATTCGGGACGTACCAGCTGTTATTCGGGACTGTTCGGGGCCAGCCCGGGCCCGGGGAGTCGAGCCAGACGACCACTCAACAAGTCAGACGTGAATTGAAACCTTTGATAAAGTGAGACTTGGTTTGGAGGCATGAAACTCAGAATCTTGATTAATTTGGGAGTTGTTCAGGTCCTCCAGAAGAGGAATTGAAATTGCTGAAGCAATGAAAACAGGTCAACAAGTTCACAATCCTCCCTTTTTTATTTATTTGATTGGAGCTCAAATGCACTGCCAACAGAAAGAAAACAATTATATCATCATAAATATCTACATATGAACAAAGGAAAAAGAAAAACAAACTGTTGTTATATACCTGAATCACTAAATTTAATGTCTTAAACCACAAAGATGTTATAAACAAAATCTACTCTCTCTCTCTCTCTCTCTACTATTTCTTCATCAAATTCTTGTTTGATCTGTTGCGTTTCAGTCGCATCCACTAGATGTTTTAGTTTGATCCTCCTTTGATTTGTGTTTAATTTTGTTAATGTGAAGGCGCTAGGAAGTCGTCCCGAGCACTGGCGGGATCAAGAAGCCCCGTCGTTGCCGCCCTGGAACCGTCGGTCTTCGGTAAACCCTAATACCCAAATTTCGCTCTGTATTCACTTTCTTTCTTCTTCAATTTCCAATGTACAAGTTTTTTGATTATTTTTTTTCTATCTGTTTTT